GGCTGGAGCCTCACGGGGTGCTTGTCTCACGCGGCCTCTGCAAAGCTCGACCACCCACGGAGGCCGAACAAGCAGGACCCACAGGAACACAGTAGGTCTCTGTGGCCCCTCACACCGCTGTGCCCACCACGCTCACCACGTCCCCGGGGGCAGCCAGTGGCCGAGGCGGGAAGGGGACAGTTTGCTGGCTGCAGGGACCCCCTGGGAGGGAGGGGGGCTGTGTCTCCCCTCCTGAGAAATGGGAGAGCTCAGGAGACTGCACCCCTCGGAGGGAAGGGAGTGTCACAAAGTCCAGGGCAGGTCTCGGAGTCAAACACAGACGCCCTGGCAGCCAGACAGCTCTACCTGGACCACAGAGCAAACAGCAAGCGGGCGAGATAATAATTAATCGCCCTGGACTTTGATTCGGTGAGATGCGCGGTTTAAATCCGTGTGTTAGAGGACGGGAGGATCATCCTATCCAAGGTAAACAGATAGGGAGATAAATCAGGGAAGCTCCTCGGTGCTTTCAGCCCCTGAAATTCAAGAACCGTCTCCGAGGTCAGTGAGCATCGCCCGAGAGGAGTGTCGGTTTCCCTTCTTTCCTGAATCTCATCCGGCCACGTGGTTGCAGGAGGCCCCTGGGCGCCCCCTCGGCTTCATCCAGGCGCCGTGAGACTCGTGTTCTGCGCCCGGGGCGCACACAGCACAGGAATCCCCGGGGCAAAAAGTGACAGCCCGCTGGGCCCGGACCAAGGCCCTGAGCTACAACTGGCAGGAGACGGGACAGGTTCAGCGGGGCAACCTCTCCTTGCGCTGTTGGGAGACAACCAGAGGGAAACGGGGAGGGGACGCCGCTCACGGGGCATCACTCCGAGGGCAGGAGGCGGGCGCACCTCCGTCCTGCCTTCCTTAGCGGCTCAACCTGGTTTTTATCTACCTTCCGATTTCGGTCCCCGAAGCTTCGATGACATCACACATCAAGCAGGAACCTGGGTGTCAGTCACTTGTCGCTCTGGTGTTCGTCTGCCATCAGCCCTACATGTGTCAGTCCAAGAGCACGGGAGGGGCCAGGGAGGAAAAATCCAGGTCACAGTCCCTGAGTGTCCCTCGCTCGTGCTACGTCCTCAAAAAGCAGCATTTAGGAGGCAGGTTAGACACCAGGCAGCTTCTTTATCCCAAAACACTACGATTCCATGACTTCCACTCTGAACGTGTAAAATCCAAGCATGTAGCCCGCTTTCCTACATTTAACAAAAGCAGGGGTGTCCCCGCTAAAAACATATACACATTTTAACAGCTCACAGCTCAATTTAGAAAATGAAATGTATTTTAATAAACACTGCCTTTATAATTATTCAAAGCGTGTGCCTGCGTTTCTTGGGGACACCCCCAGTTTACTGAGCACCAAGGACGTATGTGACGTGGGTCCAAGAGCTGGAAATACAGCCGCCCACAAGGCAGACAGCACCCCCGCCACCTCCACGCCCTGGGGTCTCAGGCATGGAGCTCTGGAGGGGACGGCAGAGCCGAATATAAAGTTGCAGGGAAGGATCTGAAACGGCTCTTTCCACATCTGGAAAAATAATTCCCTGCTCCGGTTCAGTGACCACTCATGGGAGACGGAGGGGGTGGAGGCCGCCTGGAGGAGAGGGGCCTCCTCCCGGAAAGGGGCCACGTCTCGGAGAGGCTCGGGATGAGGGATGAGCGGGGAGTGTGTCCCCGGAGGAGGACCGGGCGGAGTTAACGAGGCGCCCCACCCGGGACGGGGCTCGGAGGCCAGCGGCGCCCAGGTGGTTATGCTCAGGGCTTGGCAGGCTGAGGGGGTTTTAAAACCAGGGCTCTGTTTACAGGGAGGGCAGTCAGCTCCAAGAAGGACCCGGTTTGCAAGGCGTCGGGATGGGGGGAGTCGTTCCAGGAGAACGTTCCAGGCGATTCCAAGAAATGGCACGTCTCCCAGAACTGAGAAGCCCGGGAGAGAGGGGCTGGCTCCCCAGGATATGCAGGGGAGCAGGGCTGAGCCGCAGAGGAGGGACGCTCTGGATGGGCCGGGGCGGCTGGGGAGCCACATAGGCGCCCTGTCTCTCTCGAGCTAAGCTGATGGGCAGGATCATCTGGGGGGTGGAGGGGGGGCCTGTTTGGAACCTGGTTCCTGGGACTCACCTGGATTCACTCTGAATCCACATCTTTGGAGTCCAGGCAGGAAACGAACAGAGCTCCTAACGGGGGGCTTATTCTTCTCATAGTTATTTTCCCATGAAAAGCAAGCAGCACACGTGGGTGCGCGGCCCCTTCTGAGTCACGGCCAGGGGGCAGGGGTGCTCACAGGCCCCCTCCCAGAACCTGGGGTTGAAGGACCTGAACTCTGGGGGTGCAAACAGGGAAGGAGGGGTCCCACGGCTGGAGGGAGAGCTGGGGGTGCGTGTCTGCTTTTTATTCTCGCTCTGGATGCAACCCTGGGCTTATTAACAAAGAGGAACAACGGCCGCCGTCCCTTCAGCATCCCAAGTGCCAGGCCCTTCAGCATCCCAAGCGCCAGGCCCTGTGCCAGGCACACCTCACAGCTCGAGCCCTTTCTAACCTCCCGGGCAGACCAGCCACGTGGGCAGTCTGTAGGTTTCCAATGAAGAAACCGAGGATAAGAGCCACTCGGCCGCCAAGCTTGGGAGTGGAGAGCCAGGCCCGGGGCTGCCCGGCCCACCAGCAGGCGTGTTGCCTTCTTCTCAGATTTTAACTTTAGTTTGGTTTGTTTCCCCCTCACTAAGCCCGAGTGTCTGGGAGGCTGGACCTGCCTGCTCCTGCCTTGGCCTCGCTGTCCAACTTCACGCCTGGCACACAGTAGGTGCTCAGTGGACGTGAGTCGAATACGTGGAAAACGGAGTCTCCAGCCCCCATAAATCAGGCTGCAGAATTTTCCAAAAAGTCAGACAGCCAGGCAGCGTTCCCAAACCCTCCGGAGGCCGCCGAGTCGCCAACCCTGTGGCTCCTCGGAGAAAGCCCCGCCGGGCAGGTTACACGCAGGCCACGGGGGGGGTGGGGACCGATGCCAGACTGTCTACTTCCAACGAGGGATGGCCGGCGTCCAGGAAGGAGGCCGTCCTGGGCACGGTTAGCTCCGTGCAAGAAGCGTTACCTCGCGGGCCAGACCTGTGCCCAGGAGCCCGGCCGACCGCGCAGGCCTTCCACTCGTCCCCGAGGTCGCAAGGTCCGGAGGAGGAGCCAGGCAGGGTCCGTGCCCAGAGGACAGCCAGCGGCACCCCCAGGGCACCGCAGCCGGGAAGGCTCCCTCCCTCTGCAGGCACTTTCTCCCGGGCAGCCCGGCCTCCCGGGACGCAGCCGAGGCTCCAGGGAGCAGACAGCCCCGCGCACAGCACCCACCACCCCCTCCTCCTCTCCCACGGGCCTCCGTGCAATGAAACCCTGCTGTCGGTCCTCCTCGGTGACAGCGGCTTCAGGCCACCAAGGTCCGTCTCCTCCACCCGAGGCCTTGGACGCTGAGCTCCCCAGCAGAGCTCCCTCCAGGAGGACTCGGCACGCGGCAGGACGCAGGCTCTGCCCTCGGAAGGATTTCTTCTCTAGGTGGAAGGTGGAAGGAGGGCGCGTGTGCGATACGTCGTGAACGCACGACTCACGTCTCCGAGAAGCGCAGACACTGGGTTCTCGGCTCCGTGTCCTCTAACGAGCACGCCTGTCTGCGGCCGGTGCTGGTCCAGGCGGCGATGCAGGAGCAGAAAGCGTGGAGGGGCCGGGGCAGGACCAGGGTTTCGCCAGCGTGGCTCCTGGCATCCCTGCAGCACACCTGGGGCTAACTGCTCTCACACCCATTTCACAGATGAGAAAACTGAGGCTCAGAGAGGACACCCAACATGGCACAGCTATGCGTGGAGCCTCGGTGCCCACCCTGGTGCGTCTAACCGCCAACAAACATCCTTTTAGTTTCCCCAAGAGCAAAAACATAAACATGATCTCAAGGAACCTACAAATCAATTGGAAAAGCACGGACTAGACACACAATGGAACAGAACACCGAGCGGTAGGTCTGGGGGTCAGGACTGGACCACAGGAGGGGACCCACAAGGGGGCAGCTGGCTAGTCAACGGGCAGGAGGAGATGGGGCTGCGACCAAACTAAAGAGCAAGGTCCACTCTCTGCACCTGTGCCCAGGTGGCATGCAAGGTGAGAGGAAGCCAAACAGAGAGTGAGGCTGTGTCAACGGGCCCAGCCCCTCCGGCAGCCGGCCCCTCATCCTGGAGGCACCGAAGGACCCAAAGTGTCTGAGAAACTGAGTGATGTTCTCAGACTCGATTTTAAGAAAAAAAACGTGGCAGCCACGAAGACGGCCAGATCGTGCCATCGGAGGGAAAGCACATGGGCCTGGTGTCCCTGAGAGGTGCCCCATCCTCCAAGGGTGGTGGAAAGCATCTTGTTCCCATGCAGAAATCCAGTGGCTATGCCCATGGCCAGGGTCACTGTGCCACGTCCCAGGGTCACTAAGCCACGTCCCCACACAGGAAGCGTTTGTAATACCTTCAGCCACCGACACACGGGCAAGGGACAAGCCCACCGGGTGAAGTTTCAACACACAGATCATGGGCCCACAGAGATGGACGGCTGCATGGACTGTGTCCCCACCTCCTCTAGTCCCTGCCCCCCTTGAAAAGGTCAGGACTCGTAGTAACACCTTCCTCGGGCAGAACTAAATGCAGCCTGGCGGGTGTCGGTTACGGCCGCCTGGCACGCCCCCAGGGAAATCGCGGAGGGCAGTGGGGCCACCGGGCAGGCTCCTGGCTCCGACACCAGCGCCCCGGGGACTGGACTCCAGGGCCCCGTCTGCCCCAGGGAGGGCCGGCGAGAGGACTGACTGGACACTGAGCCCATCGGGCCTGCCCGTGGGGAGGAGCCCGGAGTCTGGGGAGCCTGCTCGGAGTCTGGGGAGAGCTCCCGCTGGGGCGTGTGGTGACGTGATCCCAGCCCTGTTAACAAGCGTGGCACACGGAACCCGGGGGGAGGGGGGGCAGTACCTTCTGTCCGGAAGGACGTGGGGTTCCTTTTCCTTACTCGAAATCTCCAGCTTGACATCTTCCTTTGGGAACAGAGTTTAAAATTACTATAGAAAAACAGCTCGCTCCAGAAGAGTTACCCGAAATGGCGACTTAACTACGGCTTAAAAAATAAATAAATTTAGGTGCAAATATATCATTGGGTTCTAGGAGATAACACATCCTGATTTTTCTACCCAAGGGACAGATGGTCTTTCGTCACTGGTGTTAATGACGAGCTGCATCTGAACTCCACCCCGGCATTTCCCAAAGGCATTTAGATGTCCCTGGACGGAGAGGTCCAGGTGTTCCATGGCCAATAAATTAACAACGACCCACTGCTCACTGCTGTGTCCCCCGGGCTTGGTGGGACCCAGACAAACGACAGGTATCTGCCGAGTGAACGAAGGAACAGGTGAGTAACAGAGACAGAAAACAAAACAAACACGACAGAGCAAAAGGATGAAAAGCCGACAGGCCCGAAAGACAGGATCGCGGGGACCAAGCCCTCCACTGACCGGCGAGCGCCCGACAGCTCGGGAGACAGGAAACACCAACGAGTCCGATTATCCGACGAAAGGGAGCAGCTCCGAGTGGCCGGGCTGTCCGAGCGCCGGGGGGGCGGAGGCCCAGAGGAGCCGAGACCTGGGGAACAGCACAGGGTGACAGTGGGTGGTTCGGTTCTGCTCCAAACGCGGCCCCGGGGAAGGGCCGGGCCCCTGCTCGCCCAACACGGGGCGACGGAGAGCGGGCGCCTCGGGCCGGTTCTGTCCCACCTTCCCTGTCGGGACAAAGGATCCGCCAAGTGGAAAGGGTGGGACAGCTCAGCGGAAAGGAAGCCAGGGCTGAGGGCAGGGGAGGCGACCCCGGGATCCCGTCTGCTCAGCTGCTCGCGAGCACAGGGGAGATCGGGTCCCGGCGGCTGGAGTCTCGGTCTGCGCCCCTGAAAGGCGTGGAGAGAGTCAACGGGAAGGGAAAACCTTCGCGGGCCGAGGGAGGAGAGAGGGGAATGGATCCAGAGGCGGGAGCGCACCCTGGGGAGATGCTGGCGCCCCAGCCCAGGGTCAAACCCATCCCTCGGGGTGCGATCTGGGCGAGCGTTCTGACCTCCGTGCCTCAGTTTCCCCCCCAGGACTACCCGCCTCAAGGGGCAGTGAGGCGGATTCAATGGGTTAAAATGTGAAGCACAAGTTCCCAATAGGTTAAGGGCCTGTTTCCAGAAGAGGGAAGCCACCCGAACAGGTGAGAAAGAGGGGTCGTAGGGACCCGGGTGCATGCAGTTACCAGGCGTGGGCCAAGCGCGCCCTGCGCGCCTCAGGGCGGAGGGACATGGGGATGTAATTAACTCGCGGGGAAGAAGGAGAGGTGAGTCTGCTGTACCCCAGCCCAATGCGCAGAGCTTAGGCATGGGGCTGGGGTAAAATAAATCAAAATTATAAACAACTTTGCATCGCTGTCCCGCCAGAGGCCAGCGTTCATGGCTATTCGGGAGCCTGTTGAGCGCTTCAGAAAGAGGCGTTACCTTTGGGAGACAGCAGCTTCACTACGGAGGGACACCGAGAAAATACAGCGTGAGAGGGAGGGAGGGGGTAGGGTGCTGGGGACATTCTCATGCATAAAGCACTAGAGACAAGGCAGGAGATCCGCCCGACAGGCCGGCGTCAGCCGGGTAAAGCAGGAGTGAGCGGGAGCCCCACTGTCCCTCAGCGAACTGCACAGCCCCTGCTCTCTACCGTCGTCACCCCGGGGTCCCCGACCCCCGTACATGGCACCATGGGAAGGGCAGGCCTCTGCCAGCTGGTCTTCACCTTTGCTCACCCGACAGGCGAGCCTCCCGGGGGGGCGGTGGCGGCAGGGCGCGGGCCCTCTGGCACCCTCCCCTGTATTTATGGCCTGCGAGTTCAGGAATTCATTAAACAATCATCTATTAAATACGGCCGTGGAGAAGGCACCAGAGCGGAACCTCCAAGAGAAGCGGGACTTGGCTCTTGCCCTCGGGAAAGGCATGATCTCCGGGGCCAGGGGACGCGGGCGACGCACAGAGTCACCCGTCTGGGGGGCTCATAGGCGCGGGCACAGGCGAGGCACCTCCGCTAAGGCGCCTCCAAGCGTGAGGCTGGGTGGGCTTGGCTCTGACTCCGACCTGACCGCCGTGGGACCTCACTGTGACTTCGGGGCAGGCTCCCTGCCTCAGTTTCCCTATCTGTAGCTCTGAGGACAGAGCCAAAAAAAAATAAATAGGTGTGAAGGAGGCTTTAGCACAGGACTCCAAGTTATTGCCGTCGTCACTCCTACTATTTTCCACAAGAATTGTGCAAGATGGGTGCACCCGAGGGAGAGCCTGAACTGCCAAGTGGTCACTGACTCGGCCACGGTCACAGGGCGCTGCTAGAAAAACGGAGGGACGGGAGCGTAGCCAGCCCAGGGCCAGGCCGCCGCCAACGTCTGAGGACACTCAGGACGGCTCGGGAAGGGAAGAACCCAAAAAAGCCGCCCTCCTTGATCGAGCCCACCGTCTCTATTAGCGGGGTCTTGTCCACTTTGGTCTCTTCTTTCCCTTGGCAAACAGACGATCCAAAGAGACGCCGGGGCTTCCGAGACGGTTCTGTTCCACACCTTTTCCCAGCGGGAAGGGAAGCAGCCCTCCGGCACTAACATGATGTCCGGCTGAAAGAAACCGAGGCCCGGAAAGGGTCTTGACGGGCTGGGCAGGACCGCGGGGGGCCAGGGCCGGGCGGGTGTCCTCGAGTCGGGGAGCGGGTGCTGGAGCAGGGCGTCGGCACCCGAGCCGGGGCATCGCGGGCGCCGTTCCGAGGCCCTCTCAGGAGGCTGCTCCGTGACGCTCACTCCGCAGACTCCACGCGGGATCCGGTCACAGTGAAACGCACACGCGGACGGCCAGGGGCCCGTGTGCCTGGACCTAAACCTCCCTCGCTCCCTGGCGCACCTTCTGTGGCGGGGCCAGCTCGGCACCCGTGGCCAGCAATGATAACCCTCTGAACCAGCCGGTGTAAAAAACATCACGGCTCCCTAAGAAGTCACGTCTCGAAAGCGCTGTTGAGAAAAGGCGGCACAGAACGGCCGTATTGTTAAGCAATTCCAGTCCTAAGTATGAGACGTCCCCCCAAAATGCACACACACCCTTTGAATAACGATAAAGGCGGTGTTGAAAATACATTTCATCTTCAAAACCGAGCTCTCGGCTGCTACGGTGTGGGTACATTTCGGGGGGACACCCTATGTATGGACGCAAAGGAGCGGCAGGCAGGGACCGGGACAGGGATCCGCACGCCCGTGGTCTCTGCAACGTAGCTCAGAGCAGCCAGAGTGGGAAGCAGCCCCCGTGCACGCGGGCGGGCGGATAAACAAACGTGGTCCATATGTGCAATGGAGGATTACTCAGCCATAAAAGGCGCGAAACCCTGACACATCCCGCCACCGGGACGAACCCTGAAAGCACTGGGCTACGTGACATTAGCCAGACACAAAAGGGTACATGTCATATGATTCCACGTCCATGAGGTAAGGAAGGCGAATTCAGGGGCGGAACAGGGGTCCCAGCAGCCGGGGACGTCGGGGCCTGGCTGGCACCGCGTTTCTGCTCGGGGTGATAAAAACGTCTTTAAAACAGCGGCGACCAAGGCCCCGCGCTGCGGGTACAATGAACGCCACTGAACGGCACGCTTAACACGGTTAATATTACGTGGTGTGCACTTTCGCCACGACAAAAAACGTCTTTTAAAGGACTCTCAAGGGCTGCTACGAAACTAGCCTCTCCAGCGGAAAATGCGTCCCTCCCCGCACTGCGCGCTGCTAGGGACCGCGGGAGGCAAGTGCAGCAACTGTCTCACACAAAAATAAGCCGCTTACGCTGGGAATGAGCTAATAAAAACGGGGCCGGCGAATCCTCTTTGGCAGGGGGAGGGATGGGTCAAGGAAAGTCACGGCGAGTCTTCTAATTCTCAACGTCAGGACCCTGACAAAGAACCAGGCAGCCCTCCATCCAAGACGTGGCGCAGAAGGTGGTCCGGGGTCAACGGCGCCTGGCGACACTTGAAAATTCAGGAAGGAAGAGCGGCCGGATCTTTGTCAGATTCCACCACGTGTCCCCAGGGTCTAGTTGAGAGGACCCTGAGTGCTGAACTCGGGGTTGGGCACGGGATGGTAAGGGAAGGCGCGGGCCCCGGAGGAGGGCACCCTGAGCCCGCTCGCTGCAGACACCCGGGGCCGTCAGCACGCCAGAGGGACGGCGAATGTGTGTGGCCACATGGGCACCCCGGAAGCAGGGCTCTGTGCCTTTCTGTCCCATGTTTCCTCTGCTGGAAAAGTCCTCCCTGCTCTACAGACCCCTCCCTCCCTCCCCTGAGCTGCGGCTCCGCCTTTTCCAGAAGGTCCCACAGTGGGAATCACACGCTATGCAGCCTTTCCAGGCTGACGGGTTTCTTTCCCCCCCGCGTCATATGCGTTTAAGGCTCCTCCGTGTCGTTTTCATGGACTCAGAGCTCATCTCTTAGCACCCAAGCACATCCCACTGTCCGGGTGGGCCACGGTCTGCCCACCGACCCCCCTCCCGGGGAAGGGCATCTTGGTCGCTCCCAAGTTTTTTGGCAACTAGGAATAAAAGCTGCTATAAATAGCCCGCGTGCAGGTTTTTGTGCGAACTTAAGTTTTCAGCTCCTCGGGGTAAATACCGAGGAGCGTGATTGCTGAGTCATAAGGTGATACTATGTTTGTTTCTGCAAGAATCTGCCAAACTGCCTTCCAGAGCAGCTGGGCCGTGGCGGGTCGCGTGTCCGCCAGCCACGAATGAGAGGTCCCGATGTGCCACGTCCCCGCCAGCCACGAATGAGAGGTCCCACCGCTCCACGTCCCCGCCAGCCACG